CCTTTCCTGATGGCCATTGTATCTGTTCAACTTGCTGTATTTAACCCAATTTTTCCTCTGACATATCTGAATTACTATTGATGGTCATTTTCTCCAATGTTCTTCTCATCAGTTTCCTTTCATATTGAGGCATTAGGAGAGGACCAGTAATTCTGAGTACTTGTTCTATATTTTCTTTGTAAGTGTCTTTTGGAAGCTTGTAGGCGTCAGAACTCCTTGGACAGGTAGTATCAGAAAAGTAAACCTGCCAAATGGGGTCACTCCTGCTCTCAGGACTGACTGGCTTGTTGCTTAAGAGAAATGTGTCACTTAACAGTAATTGAGGAAATGGAAGCAAATGAGCAAAGGATGTTACAAAGCAAGTCAGTAATAAAATTAGACTTTTGCACTGGTGACCCGGATCTAAAAGAATGCAACTGTCAACATCAGAAAATCCATTTCCTTTTGTGTCTGTTTGTTTCATCTGTAAAATGGTTCTGATAACTGCAGCTGTAGCAACCAAATAAAAATGTGATCTAAGCTACCTAGTCCTCTGCCTGCCATATCTAAAGGCCGTTCTACAGGTTGATTCTCATTTCTTTTGAGTTGTTATCCTAGTCCTTAGCTCCCAGGGCAGTGTGAAAAGAAATAGCTTGTGATGAAGAGATCTGATTGCTCACAGCAAACAGAATTAATTAACTTTTCCCTGGGGGAGGAGGGGAATGTTCCCGAAAAGAATATATATATATATAGATAGATAGATAGATATAGATTAAACCTTTTCAAAGAGGAGTTACTTTAAATATTTTTAAATAGACTAAGGGAAGTCAGTTTTGTGCCACAGGAACGATCACACCCTCAAGTATCCCTCTTACAGTTCTAAGAGCTGACACCTGTACTTAACTTTTCCTGGTATGAAAGATGAGTTCCTTGATAACTCCCTTCTGGAAACAGCGGAGAGGAAGGCTTAAAGTAAGCAGACTATGCAAGATAGCATTGCATTTCTCTGTGTCTTAGGAGTTTCTAGTGGAGTCCAGGAGGCACCAGGCAAGCTTTTGCTGCCTCCAAAGAAGATAGTGTAAAAAGAGAGTAGAAGAAATGCATGGCATTTTGAAATTCATCCAGAAATCCTGGAAGAAAGGGTAGGGGGAGAAACAGACATCCAGTTAGGGAACTAAACCTGGGGGGAGGGGAGGGGAAGGAACTGAGGGAGAGAGATTTTTATCCCCCTTTTCACGTGTCTGTTGCAGGAAAGAACACAAAGAAACCACACAATAAAACATGACTCTCTTTTCCCCAGCCTCTCAGAGTCTCAGAAACAGCTGACCGGAGATCAGCTTGGGGCCCATCAGACCTGTTGCCTCTTTCGTGGCTCCAGCTCTTGGTACCCAGCCTCCAAATTAACTGTGCATTAAATGATCAATTCCCTTCGAGTAACCGAACACTTGAACGCCTTCACCCCACTCGGGAAGGGGGTGGAGCGGAATAAGACAGAAGAAAGTTTAGCAGGTGGACTGACAGCTTGGGCTGTCACTTTCTTCTTGGAGCTAAGAAGGCTGTGCCCTCCTGGAGTCACTGCAGGAGCATTTGTCACCAGGAGGGCAAGAAAGCCAGCAAGCAAGCCCTGGGGATTTTGCCCTCGAGGGAAGGAGGGAGGGCTGCCTTGAGCTTCCAAGAATTCCTGAGACCACACGGGAAAGGCCGGGAGTCCACGGCACCTCTCCCCTCCTTGGCAATCACCTCTTTACTGGGACGGGGGGGCGGGCAGGGGCGTGTCCTTTACGTCCCCTTCCCTTCTGGAGGTGTGGGGAGGGGGTCCCCAGGAGCCCCGTGGCGGTGGGAAGGTAACCGCGAAGGTTGGGGGGTGGGGTGGGGGAGCCGGCCAGCACGTGCAGCCGCCCGGGGGAGGAGGAGGCTGGGCTAACTCAGCCCTTAGTCAGCAGCTGGGCTCGGGTTTTGAAACAAAAGCCAATGTCCTCCCTCGGAGTCCGCGGCCGGTCAGTTCGTAGGGGGAAGAAAAGCATGCTGCCCAGCCGGTTAGTGGCCCAACTTACTTTTCCACAAGCTGGGACAAAGGGCTAGCCGACATGCGGAGGGACGGGTGGGATGGGGGGACTGGAGGACAGTGGGGATGGGGGGGGTACAGGTGTCTCTGACGCTCGCTCTCCCCCGGCGAGGCCGCTTAGCCGAAGGGCCAGGGGCTGCCCCCTCCCCTTCCCAGGCTCTGCGCATGTGCGTCCGGGACCCCCCGCCCCGGGGTGGGGAGGAGGGGGCGCTGGGCTCCGCGTCCAGCCCCGGCACCTCTGCCACCCGCGTCCCCGGAGCGCAGACACCACCAGGCCCCGGTTTCATGAATGAAACCCAATCGTGTGGATATAAATAGCCGCCGAGGCTGCTAACGTCACAGTTGCGATCGGCGGCCGCCGCCGCCACCGCGTCGGGAGCCCGGGTGCCGGGGGCTGGGTTCCGCCCCGGCCGCCCCGCCCGGGAGCGCGGGGTGGGGTGGGGTGGGGGACGGCGCGCCGGGGAGGGGAGGTGGGGGCGGGGGAGCCCGCGGCGCGCGCCCGGGCCGGGAGAGCGCCGGCGGCACGGGGACCCGGCGAGGCCTGCCTGCCTGCCGGCCGGGCTGTGCCATGCTGCCTTTGTGCAAAGTTGGGCGGCGGGCGGCGCGCCGCGCCCGGGGGGCCCGCACACCCGCCACCGCGCGCAGTCCTGGCTGCTGCTGCTGAGGGGCGGGGGGCCCGCGCCCCCCACCCCCACTCCCGGCCCCTCTGAAGGCGGAGAGCGCTGGCGTCTCACTCGGCTTCAGGGTAGGTGGTGCGGGTCGTGAGCGCGCTGTGAAACTTCTGCGAGCGGCCGCCTGCGGGGGGGGGGGGGCCTCCCCTACCCGCCCCCCTCCCCCACCCGCCCCCCTCCCCGCGGATTGGCGCGTGGGGACCCCTCCTACACACCCCTCTGGGGCTGTGCTGAGCAGCCGCAGCACCCCGGAGCGATCGGCTGTATGTAGGGGGCTCACCCCTCTCCAGCAACCCCCAGGGGGGACAAGCCTCCCATCAGAGACCAGCGGAGAGATTTCTAGGAGCGCCCGACCAGCCGCACCCCGAAGTTGGAGCCCAACAACTGTGCAGGAGGCATTCCACCCTCCCCTTCCCCCCCACCCCCCCCCCCACGCGGAGGAGCAGGCTGGCTGCCCCTGGGAGGGAGCGGTGCCGCGCCCACCAGAAGGTTCTTTCTCTCTCTCCCAGACAGTAGTGGGGATTGCCAAAAGACTGGCGAGCGGGGCTCTGGCACCCCTTGGCAGCCCGCACCCCCGCTGGGAGTTCATTAGCCTGTCCACCGTGGCACTCCCGACCCCCCTCCGCGGCCCCTCCCCACGCCCCGCTGTCTCTGGAGTCTGTTGTGGGTTGCTATGGCAACAGTAGCAGCTGCCACGAGGGGCTCGCACACAAAACTTGTCTCCCGGTGCCCAGCTTTGGGGTGGGGGTGTGGGGGGTGAGGACGAAAAGAGATTTGGATTTGTGCAACCGACTGAATCCAACCTTCAACTTCCACCCCCATCCCCACCCCCACCCCCCATTCCTCCCCTCCCCCAAAAAAAAGAAGTGGAAGGAAGGCACAACTATGTAAAAGTCTATGGTAGATCCTAGTGTTCGCCCTGCCGTTTCCATCCCCGGCGGTATCAAACATCGCCACGGAGGAGCAATGTCAATATTTAGACTTGGACAAGCCAGAAAGTTAGGAGGGAGTGCCAAGCGCAGGGTTTTGACTTGGCTTTGTACGTCAGCACACAAGCTGTGCCACTGGAGCTGACTGAACGCATTTGCTGGGAGGGGAAAAAAGGCATGAAGGATGATACATGCACACAGGCACCCACAGCTTGCAGACTCTAGAAAGGGGAGACCAGAAGAGTCGCCCTGACTCTGAACTTCCCCGACCTGTACTGTTCAGGAAGTCTGGTTGAACCACAGCCAGACCCTTCAGCTAGTGGTTTTATTGCTCCGTGGTTCTTCTCACACACCCCAAGTAGGACTAGTGCTGCATATTTTATAAGAAGCATATTCTAAACTGGAAAAAAAAAAAAGGTACCAAGTTAGTAGTTTTCATCTTTGCAAAAGACCTTTTGCTGTCAGTAGATAGTAAAAAAAAAATAAATAAGTCAGCGGATAAGTTTGTTTACAAACTCTCAGCTCAAAATTTGGAACTGTATTTCATTTCCAATAACCTTTTCAGATGCCTGAGCAAGTCAGCGGTTGTTAGAAAATAAACACAGGCTCTTTTCAGTATAAATAGCATCTGCATACTGCTCCACAGGTAGAGTGAGTAGTAAATTATTGTGCTGAACAAACGTTTCTTGAGATCCATGAATCCTGTTTGGAAAGTCATCCAGTTGATCCACTTGAAGAAGATTTTGAAAAATCTTTAGGAAATAGAATCATGGTCAGAATTCTAAATTCACATATTTCTTGTCATCTTCCAAGATTTTGAAGGTAGTACAAATTTGATGGAAATGGAGTTGTGTGTGACCACAGAGGAGGAAATCGAAGCACACGTGACATTTTGATATTACTGCTTCTATAATATAATTTATTTGATAGGAAAACCATTCATTGTTTTGGTTGAGTTCTATTCTCTGGAAAATGCCATTTTGGAGGATTAGCATGTCTCTTTCAATGATCTGTGTTGTAAAATGCTGATAAAATTTCCATAGTGCCAATTTCGTCCATCAGGTGTTTTTTTCCTATATTCTATTTTTTTTTTTTTGGTGGTGGGCGGGGAGGCAGAGGACTGGGATCTCCCCATGTGCTCAAAAGTATTTTTTCACAAATGCTTCAAAACACAAACCTGTTTTGGAATGCACTTGACCCTGTGAAATTATACTTTTAACGTGATGCATAGAAAAACTAAAACATTTTCCTCCCCTTTTTGTGGGGATGAGAGGAGATGAAACGGAAAATATTTAGTGACTGCCTATTGGCTCCTGACAGGCGGTGGGTTTACCAAGTATTTCTTCTTCTATTTAGGTGAATCCAGCCGTGGGCAGTGTGTTCTGTTCTTCACTTCCAGTGAGTCAGGTCAGTGTCTCTGCAAACCTCTGACCACAGATTGGTGACATCCTGTATCTGTTTTTGAGAATGCATTGCAGAATGGCTTTCTCCGTCATTTGTTTTAAAAGGCATTAGCTTTTGTCATCTTTATACTGAATTATATGAACATTACAAGCTCAGTGATGGTTAAAAAGTTTTCTATGTTCTCTTATGAGCACAATGATAATCAAAATGAGCTTGATCTTTCTATACCATTTTTCTTTCTGTGACATTTTCAATGACATTTTTCTTTATTTTGGTGGATCAAGATGGTACCGTACAGTGAGGATTCTGATGTTCAATAACTTGAGGTTTTACTTCTTTCCTAATCTTAGTCTCTAGAGCTGAGAGAAAGTTGACTGAGCCTGAATTAAAGTCAGAGTACTGTGCTACAGTCTGCGCTCTGTACATGTATATATTCATTCTGTCATATATATGCAAATGTATATAAATAACTCAGGGCTTTTTGAGTGTATGTATATACACATGTATGGAGAATGACAGAAAGAGTATATAGTAAAATGAAGCAGAATGAATACATAAATACTATTCAGATGTATATGTGTATACATGGAATATAAATGTATATATATATATGTATGTGCATATATCTGCATATATACGCACATATTATGTATTCCTGTGAAGTGAAATCACTCTCTTGATTTCTCCAACTACAGGTGAAGAGTTGAAAATTCAGAGAGCCTCAGATCACTTGTTCCACCTGTATGTCCAGTAAATGACACAAATAGGATATTTTTGAAAGGTCTGTGTTGGGATATAGGACATGGCTGAGGTGTTAGGGTGATTGAATAGCAAGCATGGTGCTCTGAGCTCAATAACCCAATACCACAAGAAAAAGAATAATTCTGTCTTAACTCAAGACATAAACTCGCGCTGAAAATTCCTTTTCAACAGGGAAACTGAAGCCAAGAATGGTTAAGTGACTTCCTTAAGATAACTTGGTGGGGTTGAGGATTTAGCTCAGTGGAAGATTTCTTGCCTAGCAATTTTAAGGCCCTGCTCAGCATCACAAAATTTTTTTTAAAAAACTTGATAATTGCAGCTTATGTAACACTGAACGGTACATTCATCCCATATAACACCCAATGGAACAGTTACTGCACAAGAGTGATTTCTACTCTCCTGAGAAATCAGTGAAATAAACCTTCCTAAATACTTTCTGACATGCCACTTTCAAAGATAAGGAAGTTTTTATTATATGGAGTTTTTGGAGTTTAAGAACTTTATGAGCAGATTTAAAAGGTAGTAAAATGCTGAACATTTATGCATGAAAAATTAGAATAAATCAAATTCATGCGTGTTAGAAGGCAGAAGTCAGTCAGTGCTACATGTATTCAAGGTTCTGCATTTTCCACTCGACTGGATTACTGTGCAATTCACTATATTCAAGGGGGAAAAGTTTCCAAAAACACCCTTTGTCTGGATAGATAAAGTGAAGGAGAGTTTGGGGAAAGACAGGATGTAGAATTTCCACTCAGTAGGGAAAGGCCATGGTGTTACCCCGAACCACTAAATTATAGTACCTCAAGCTCAAAGACGCATTGCTGAAAACGTATTGCAATAAACTTGTAGGCCCTCTGTGTCCACATGGTACCTTTGAGAAAGTAGTATAATTTGGCATAATACCTAAAAAGCTGGATCCCTTCTGGCACCTCAATTTGAAAGGTGCCTCTTAGATAAATTTGGAAATATAGTAGAAAAACCCCTTACCAAAGTTCTGAAAATCACCACCACCCAAAGGCTAAAGACAGTTTGTACTTTGTATCTAACTTGGCATCTTTTCTTACCCTACTTCCCTCCCTGCCTCTTTCTTTTACTTTTGTAGAATAAGTTATAAGGAAGTCTGAAAAATTAAAATAATAAAACATAAAATAATAAAAAATAAGTAAAAGTAACAACAAATAGAACAAAGAAAAAATTACTAAGGAACATCATTTTTAGAATTAAAAAGATACCTTTTAAACGCATTAGTTCTCCACTTACACTAAATAGCTCTGAAAACTTAAATATAGTCAACAAGTACTTTTAAACATTTAAGGAGAAGTGGCGCTGAGGCTCAAGTGATAGAGTGCCCGTCCTGAGCTGAAGAACACAGGGACAGCGCCCAGGCCCAGAGTTCAAGCCCCATGACCAGAAAAAAAAAACCAACAAAAACAAAACAAAACATTTAAGAGATTGTAATGCTGATGGAGCTTTATCCTGTAAAAGTTGTTATATACTGTATCCTTACAAAATAGATTATATTCTTTAAGAGCACTGTCTTTATTAGGAAGATCTCATTGTAGGCTAGACCTTAACCATCAACTGATATACAGCTAGTTGTTATAAATGGTATGTCATAAAAATAGCAAAAAATGACTATAAATCTATAATTTATTTAAAGTTATACTCTAACTCACAGAGTAAAACTTAGGAGTAGTTGGGCACTAGTGGCTTACACCTGTAAATCTATCTAGCTCCTCAGGAGGTTGAGATCTGAGGATTGAGGTTTGAAGCCAGCCAAACAGGAAAAATCCATGAGACATAGCCTAAATTACAAGTAAGTCCGAAATACATTTGAAACCTAAGGCACATCCAGAAAAAGGATGATAAGAGGATTCCAGCAGGATGGAGATAGCGTGGTGCTAGGAGGAACCTTCCTTATCTTCAAGTGGGTGAACACAGAGCAGTCTTTTCTCCTCTTCAAAACATAGCAGCCCATACTCTGATCCTTTCCAAGTGTTCTCAGCTGACCGATCCCTGGGGAACTTTAATGTTGTTGTTGTTGTTGTTTTAAAAAAACATTTTGTTTTTAACTGGCATATATTTTTTATACAGAAGGGTTCAATTGTGAAATCTTACATGTATATAATGTGCATTGATCAAACTCATCATTCTATTACTTTTAATTTCTTCTTCCAACTTTTTCACAATTTTTAGGAGATTGCATTATTCTATATTCATGCTTGCATAAACCATACTTTGGACAAATTCACCATGCCTCCTTTGACATTTCCGCTTAGCTCTGTGTTTCTATTGGCTATGTATTTTGGAGGGCCTACTTTGAATTTCATTTCCTTGACCTGCAATGGGAACAGCGTTACCTCCCTCAGAGCATTATGAAACTGGTGTGAAAATCACACATGCAAAGCACATTGTAGGTACACAATAAAGTTAGTTCTCTTGTTAGAGTATCCTAGAAGGAAAAGTTGTAACCTATTTACTGGCATTGAGTTCCGATATTCCAAGCATGGATGTAGTAATCTTTTTTTTTTTTTTTTCTTGAGAAAAATCAGCCTAGTAGTCTCTCTGGGCACCAGTAGCCCAGTCACAATTCCATTTGTTTTTCTTGTATTCAAGGGTGGCCAGTTTTACTTGGCTTCTTTTATTGCTTCAGTTTCTACCACAAACTAATAACATGCTTCCCTCAAAGATTTGTGCCTCTCATTTCCTTTCAGATACTCGTTAGGTATCTAATGTGTTCTTCCCATAGACCTTTGCATCTTGAAGGAGCTATTATATCTCCGGTCAAATAACTGAGAAATATTTCCAGAGAATGTTATTGCTAGTAGAAAACTCTGGTTTTCAATTTTGAAGCATAGGATATGTCTCTGCCTTTATTTGAACCAAGTGCCGCCTGCCAAGGTCTGCTGTCTCTTCTCAGAAGAACGTGCTGCTGACATGGGCATTGATGGGGAAAGCATAAACACCACCATTTCCCCCTTCACCCCCAGCACTTTATAACTGGCCTGGCCTAAATTGCACCTCTGGGAAGCATTTCATCACACTCTGTTCCCCAGTTATCCTGCTTTGTCTTGTGGCTCTGCTGTTCTGCTTTTGGACTTTTGGAAGCCAGCCTTTGGCAGGGTATCCTGTCATCCTAGACATGGGGGAAAGACACTGGTCTGGTTGTTGTTCCTAGTTGTACCTGTTTCTTCTTCTATTAACAACCAGGTGGTATCAAATAGGCTTAAATTTCCGTAGTAGCACAGCTCCTTTCTTAGTTAACATTTGGCAAATACCTAGCTAGTCATTAGGTATTTTTATGGTGCTATACAGGATGCTTAGAAATCAGTCATTGCTAGATTGTCTCAGATTGTTTTTCTCCCCATTCCGCTCAAGGCTGGCACTCTTCTACTTGAGCCATGCTTCTACTTCCAGCTTTTTTTGCTGGTTAATTGGAGATGAAAGTCTCTGGGATTTGCCTACCCAGGCTGGCTTCCATCCTTGATCCCTCACATCTCAGCTTCTTCTCCTAGCAGCTTCCTAATAGCATTACCCAGATGAGCCAACAGCACCCACCCAAGATTATCCTTAATCTTGTTACTAATTTTGGATTCATTCTTAGATAAGTTTCAGTTTTCACCAAGGAAAACACAAACCATATTAATGCACGGGAGCAAGAATAAGTATCTTGTTAAAAGGTAGATCCTGATTCAGGACTTGTGAGGTAGATCCTGAGATTATGGATTTCTTACAAGTGCATGACTGATCTCAACTCTACTGCTGAGGACCCTGTGAGTTGCTGAAGTTTCAAAGTAGAGTTGTTACTGATCTTATGCCAAAGCTCACTCCGTAAATGCGCTAATCAGACTCTCACCTTATTTTGTTTGCTTGTTTCTTAAGCCATAACAGAGAGTCATGGAATCTTAAACATGGAAGGAATGTAGACATTTATGTGCTGGCAGATCAGCAAGCTCAACAGTGGGAATAAAAGAATGCATATACGTGCCTAAGTACATGATAAATGCTACAGCTCAGAGGTAGAGCATGTACTTAGCAGGCACAAGACGCTTGGGTTCAATTCCAAGCCCCCCTAAGTAAATACACAAATGCTACTTACATAAAGATTGTGGCATATCATTAAAAAAAAAACCTAGCAAAGCATACAATGCATATTATAAATTGCGAATTGCCAATTGAGTCTCACAGAAAGCTTTCATTTGTTTTTCCAAAACTCTCACCCATAGTCAACATATGGTACA